TATCCTTTTTCAATTATTTGAGGTTTACTTTTAGTGAATGTATCTTAAAGTTACGTTAGCATACATTACTATATCCATTCAAGACTGGCATTCTCCTACAGGTTATTGTATGATGCCTCATAACTTGTCTCTCTCCATTTAAATTTGCATTTTTTCTGTAACACATCAGGATTTCTGCATATTTTCATATATTTTTCAGAAATCAATGTTAGATAATACCAAATCAGGTAGTTACTGTACTTTTCTACAAATTATTATAAATAATTTCTGCTTATATTCTGTGATGACATATTGGTTCTCAGTTTTAAGATGTATTACGTGACCGGTCCTTGTTTCTTGGTGTCTGTGTGTATACTTTGTATGTGGTTTTTAAATTGGCCTCTAGCCAAATGGCTTTGATGGAGCTGTTATAAGTTAATCTTCCAAGTGCCTTATGAGTGACTAATGTGTTTGTTGCTTTCCGGTGTTGTTAGAAATTCTTTTATTGTGAAACAAATTTAGGTGAGGTAGAGGCGTGTGGCATGTAACATAACATGATTGTGGTCTACTTACAGAAGTAATAATGCCACAACAATTAAATTCATGTTAACCCTGTATTATTTTCTTTTGAGATAATACCAAGTATGCAGATATTTGGCTGTAATAATTTTAATTGCCAAAAATTGCTGATGCAAAATCACCTGTATATATGTTATATTTCTATGATCAGTGTAAAGGAAAAAACTGGTTGAAGTACATAAACATTTACCGTTGATTAAAGTTACATACTATAAAATTGTTGATAATTGAACGCTTTGTTTCCTTGCCTCCTTATACTTTAAAATCTGGTTGTTGTGATTATCTTGGGTTGAGTTGGTTGAAGCCGGTTAATCTTGTAAATTCCGGTATTAAGTAGCCACGATTTATCAATTCAAATGTTTTCATGATATCCTCAAGTGGATTACCATTTGATTTTGACATCCAAGCTTGGTTCTCCTCATAAATTTGCAAAACCTACAAAGTAAAATTAAGTAATTTTAACTGCAATTTGGATCATACAAACGATACTCATCTCAGACACTTGGACATCAGTACCTCTCTAACACATTGAGGGTAGTCTGTATCATATTTCTTCTCAATTTCATCAATATGTTTCTGTGTAAGTCCCAAATTTCTGCCAAAATTTCTCCAGGAATGGGTGATGCGTGATGACAAATAAACAATAACTGCAAATAGAGAGGAAAAAACATACATACATAAATATTTCTCAAAAAATGTCTGAAAACTACTTTGACAACTGTGAAAATGTGGTGTTTCTTACTACATACAGGTCTAAAGGCCTGTCTTCTATCAGCTGTAAGCCACGTCTCAAAGTGTTGTAAAAAAATTTGGGATTTTTGGTTTGGGTAGAACAGACTGTTTCTTAACTGACTTTTGGTCCCTGACGATTTTCAATATTTAAAGACTAGCTTTAAGTCGTAATCTAAGCTTGGCATTGGCAAATCTTGCTAAAACTGCTCTTACAGCTTTGCTTACCACTTAGAGCTTATTACGGCTTGTGGATGATTGTAGAAGGGCCCTTTAAAACGTACCAAAAACTTACCATCATCTGTCAGGCAGATATGTTGGCGAGCTCTGAGGTGATTTTGTGGACGAACAGAAAAACCTAAACAGTACATGAAAATAGTATTTTAAAAAATACAAATCTACTGCAGAAGTCAAAATTATTTTCATTTTAGATCTACCATTGTCTTCATGAAATAAAATCTGTTCATATTTCTGAAACTTTGGGTTAAGTTTTGTCCAAGTCTTCATGTCACTATCATCAATAAAATTTCTCTTAACAAGCACAGCAATTAGTTCGTCAAATGTGTTTATACTTTCAAGACGCCTGTTGGAATCAATTTCTGTTCTGAAATCAGTCTTTAATGAATCTAAATGTTTCTCCATGACTGGGGCCACACTCAGAACTCGACGTTGAAACTCTTTACTGTTAGATCTTTCCATCTGGACCATTTGCACCGCCCCAATCGCGCGAGGGAAATCCCAGACAGAAGTCAAAGCCGACAAATCGCACAGTTTTCTTCTCCAGGCACCCTGCTGACACTGCAGACGCTCCGATACTGCTAGATACTGCGAACGAATGAGAACAACGCATTATTGGCAGATCTGTGGCTGTATATAAGACTGTCTTCCCCCACCCCACCCCACCCTCGCCTCGTCGGTCGCGCGTCGCGTCGCGTCTCGCTCGCGGCGCGCGCGCCAGTCCGCTGCTGATATTCTTGGTGTACGGACGCAGTCCCGTGTCGTGACAGTCGTGACGTCGTGACGCGCCCTCAGTGTTGTGACGTGACGGGCGGGTGCAGCCGGTGCAGCCTGTCATTCCCCGACCTGCCCACCGCTCGGACTGGAAGATTTGCCTGTTGCGTCCGGGCCGACTGTCATGTGATTGGGGAGAGCAACCGCCGGTGACGCATTCCCCAGTAGCTCACTGGCTATGTCGACTAGGGGACGTCGCTAAGTTCATCTGGATTGTTCAGTGCTGGGGCCGATCTCAACTCCGAAGGCTGCGTGCGCTGCGTGGGCACTCCCCCTCAACCTGGAGCTCGTACAGACCCTCAGGTGGGTGTCCATATCAGTATAGCAAGGGCCAGTGACTAAGCTGCCCGCCGCCGAGTCGCGCGTTGTGAGGATTCGCTGGCGAGGACGCGGCGGGTCCTGCCAGGGTCCTGCGGCTCGAGTGGGCGTGGGCGGTGCGCCTAATACAATTCGGCCGAGGCGGACATTCCGGTCCGAAAGGGGCTGGGGCAGCACGGCGTGAATCACTGCTACACACGTGTGTGCATGTGCGTGTGTGAGAGTGACTGAGAGGGAGAAAGACAGAGAAGGCGTGAGTGAGGACAACCTCAGGGCCTGCAGTGGCGCACACCAGCGGGGCGCACACGCATGATTCAAGATGCAGGCAGGGCGCGGCACATCCGGGCGCGGCGGGGTGTGGTGGGGTGGGGCGGCAGGCGCGGGTCTCCAGCCCCCGCCAGGCTCATGTAAGCTCCCAAAGAGCGGTCCTGAATGAATGGGCGTGCTGGTACTGACTACGTACTTGTGCGCCCGGCCCGCCAGAGTCGACTATCAGCTGATTTTTGTGGAATCGGCCGGCTGTGCGCGTGTCAGCTTCCCTTGTCGCGTCGAGCGGGTGGCCCGTCTCCGCCGTGCCTGGTGGTGCTCAGGCCCTGCCGCGGGCGCGGGGGCGCCTGACCCACTCGAGTTGTCGCCCACGCCGCGCCCGGCCCGGCCCGGCCCGCCGCGCCCCGCGGGAGGATGCAGGCGATGCGTGAGACGGCTGCGTTATCAGTCGCGGCCGCCTGCTGGAGCCACACCGCGTTGCGCCCGCTGCGCCCTGGGGCGTGGCTTGGCGTGGCTCGGCGCGACACAGCGTTGCCAGCTGAACTTCTTGTCAGCTCGCTCGCTGCTGCTGTAATCTCCCAGCGCGATACATACGCGCCCGCCCGCCCTGGTGTCGGTACGTACTACGTACTGTGTTTCAACAAGTAAGCACCCAAGCACCGCCGCCGTCCCAGCCACCTGCCAGGTGGGGGAAGTCAGCTGTCTCATCCGAACGGAACCTGGCCCCCCCGGCCCGCGTAAGTCCGTGAGTCACACGTTTCGTACGACATGTCGGGCCGCGCCACGCTGATATCGCGCGTGATTGTTCTGAATGCGGTTTATGAAGTTCATGTGTCGGCGGGCCCGGGGCCTGCCTGGGCTCGGGCCTGGCGGTGCGCGTCTGTGGTGTTTAGCCATGGCTTCACGGCCAACCAGGCCGTGCTGGGGCTGTGCCGGGGCCGGCTTGATCCCCCAAACTGCGACCAGGCCACGTCTGCGCGCGCGGCCGCAGCGGGACGGGGGCAGGGGAGGAGCATACGGGGCGCAGGTGGCGCAGGTGACAGGGCGGACCAAGGAGAGACGTCCTGCAGAGTCCTTGGTTCGCTCTCGGGCCGTGCCCTGCGTGGGCGGGACCTGTTGTTGCTCGGGCCGGACGGGTCCATGGACGGGTCAGGTCAGGACCACGCACAGCAGTTCTGGGGATCCAACGGGGCGGGGCGGGGGCCGGGCACGGAGTGTAGAGTTGCACAAAACAAAAAGGAATTCTGTAAAGAAGCTTTTTTTTTCTGCGGTGCTGCTGAAATGGTGTGCAGAACAGAGCGGGCTCTCTTTGCGGGCGGGACCATCCAACATGTGTTACAAACTCTCGTATGATTGACTACTCCTGGCGTGGTCTGGCGTGGCGCGCTCTCCCATGAATGGAGCCGCCTGTGCCTGTCCGCCCCGCCGCCCCTGGTCCGCCCCGCCGCCCCGCCCAGCACAAGGGAGCATCGCGATCCTCGTGTTACGGAAACATTTTCCGATTTGATTTTATCTTCACATGTACAGCAGTAGCCGGTCCCTGGCCGCCATTCCGTCCGCGTCGCGGTGGTCGCGGGCTGTGCCTTTCTGGTGCCGCGGGCGCGCCGTTCAGTTTCACACAAGTGCACCCAACGGCGCACGAACCAACTGGCCAAACACAAGGCGATAATGAGGTCCAGGACCTGGCCGAAAGGGGCGGGGGGTCCCTGACGTTGACATGATGTTGTGGGGGCCGCGCCGGGGCCCACAACACCGCAGGGCCGCCGGGCTGTCGAGTGCCCCGCCCCGCCCGGTGAGAATCCTCCTCTAGCCGGCTCCGCCGTCGTTGAATCACATGGAAAACTGAAAACGGCCAACAATGAACTTTCACATTTCATCAAGAAGTAGTATAACATTCAGAAAGAGGAGCCGCTGCCGCAGTTCCCCCGGCGAGCCACGCGAGGTGGAGCGGGAGCGGAGCAGAGCGTCACGTCACGAGTCTGTCGTGTGTATGTGTGTGTGTGTGTGTGCGCGCGTGCGTGCGTGAGTGCGTGCGTGTCGCCGCTCAACACGTGTGCTCCCGGGGCCACGTCTCCTCGGGACGTCACGCGGAGAAAACTTTGGCATCGGCATCCAATTTGGGCAGGAGCTTGCGGAGATCGCAGCACACATGCACTCTCTGGAGGCGTGTGTCGGCCGTGCTGGCCGGCCGGCGCCGTGCGCCCGTGGGCCCCGTGGGCGTCGCCGTGGCGCATAGCGGTGCCAAGGGCGCGTCAGCGGAACGTCGGGAGCACGTCAGGCGACTGCTGGGCCCGGCGTGACGGGCGTGACGACTGCAATGCAGATCCAGCCGCCCGTTCCCACACGGGTGTTCGGTCCGCCGCGCCAGATGTGGAAAGCAGTGGGTCCCCAGCACCCCGCTTCACCCCCTGCAGTCCACCGCGAACCCAATCAACGGCCCGGATCCTACAGTCCCCTGCCGGCCTGACCTCAACCACATCAACCTTGCGCCTTGCGCAGCCCAGCGCCCAGCAGGCGTCTCTCGAGTCTAGAAGTGGGGCTGTACTGGTCCCTCGCGCAGGACGGGGAGCCCCACCCGGGGCGGGGATGTAGACGCACGCTCTTCCGCTCCATGCTCCAGCATCTGCTGCTGGCCCGGGGGCCGCTGGCTGCACCTGGTCCCCTCCCCCCTCCCCACCCCTCCTTCCGCCACCCCCAGGCCGCCCCTATCCCTGCACCCGACGCCTGTGCCTTGTGCCCTGGGGGAGGTCGGGGCCGGGGGCCGGGGCCCTCTGTACCCTCAGCTGCGACGGCGCGTCCTCGGCCCACGCCGCCGTGGTGCACAGACGTGGCGCACCATGGCGCACCGGGACCCTCCAGGCCACCGTGAACTTTGCCAACGATCCTCGCCGCCCTGCGGGCGACGGATGGCGCCGTGGCACCGTGGCGGGGCGGGGTGGACGGGGCCGTCGTTGTCCCATCATCGCATGGGAATGGGAGACTGAAGTGGGATAGGCGAGTTGCGGCATAGGTCGCCGCGGCGGGCCTGACGGGCCTGACTGTGAGGTGGGACAGCTAAAGGTGCGCCCACCGAGTTGAAGGTGAGGGCCGCCCGTGCGCCCGCCGCCATCTGACCGACCCAGAACAGCGTTGACGCTCCTACAGTGCAATAAAACACGAATCACAGCAGGGCTGCTTGCAGGGCACTGTACATATATATACTCGCTCGATAGAGAGAGACAATAACTTATATTTTCACTTTCGTTATTCTGTCTAAGTACGTATGTACTCATTCCCCCGTCCTTTTTTCATTCACTCGAATGAGTACGCCGTGGTGAGTGTGTTTTATACGTCTCGTAAAACTCACGGATCCTTTTTTTTAATTTTGGCCTTTTCGGCGAGCGAGCCCGTTCCTCCCCACCCTGCCCTCACCTGTGTATGCAATGCAAGGCGAGCAGTATGTTTGTCTGTGGGAGGCGGGGCGGGCGGGGCGGGGCTGGCGAGTGCGCTGACCCGCCCGATACTCGGCGTGTCAGCGTGTGAGAGGAGCGCGAGTGACACGGCGAATGAGGTCGGCCCACTTTTTTGCGAGGTGCGCTGCATTTTGCACGGCTCAGTTAGAACTCGTCGCGGGCGGCGCTCGGCCTTCCCCCGGGGCTGCTCGGGTGCTCGGGCACCCGCGCCTCGCGCCGGCCGGACTCTCCTCGCGCCCACGCCCAGCGCGCAGCACAGCCGCCGGCCGGCGGACACCCCTCGGCGCCGTGGCACCGGCACCCTCTACAGGCAGTGCCAGGGCCATACCAGCACCAGCTGCGAATTTCGGATATTATTAGTGTTGACCTGATGGGGACCCGGAAGCGCGCCCGCTCTCCCGCCGCAGCTGCTCACACTTGCCGGGAGGAAGTGGTAAAGAACAAAGTGGGCTAAGCCGGCCGGCCGCAAGCGAGCAGTTGTTGGAGCGCTGGCGCGGCGCCCGTGCTGCGCTGGTGCTGCGCTGGTGTGCGCCGGTGCGGGGGAGCAGGCGCGTCCCGTGTTTGATTTGGGAGCGACGGGAGAGGCCTGCGCTCCGTGCCCCATTGTGCGGCGGGACAGGTATGCTCGGGAGAGCTCGGGAGAGCTCCGGGGCGTCAGGTTACCAGCGGCAGCGGGGCCCGCTTCCGTGTCACCCAGTTCTGCCTGCAGCCACCGGCCACCGCGGGGCGGGAGTGAAGCACTAGCACACCCTGCGGGCTTGCCCTGCGGGGAGAGCTCCGGCACGCGACGCACACGCGCCGAGCGGGCCGCGGAGAGCGGGGCAGCGCGTCCGCCAATCTGAGAGGAGCGTTTCGCCAAGTGCCCCCTTCCTGTGGCAGCAGCTCGAGCCCGTCCGGAGAAAGACAGACGGACGTTCAAGTCGGTAATAGGGGTGGGGGGAGTGTAGTATACTACGTGTTCTGAGCCTGTCATCTTGCACTGTATACTGTCATTCCGCACAGTACGTATAGTGCATAGTGTGCAGCACGACGGAGTGCAAGCGGCGGAGAATACGTTTTTCTTACTCCTCCGCAGATACAATTAGTAACTCGACCTGCCGGACCGGAGGGGGGAGAGGGGCGGGCGTGGGTAATGAAGCTTAACGAGCTCATCGCAGTGACGGGCATTAAGTGAGGGGACATGCCCCCCCCCCCCTCTTCTCGTTTCTTGGTGGAAAGAGGCGGGCGGGTAGGGACAAGAGCGTTTGCCGTTTGCGTCGTGTCGTG